CTCCTCGGTCCTTTCCCTCCCAGAAGGCCGCTGTCGCTGCTCCCGCCTCCTCCCGCCATCGTGCCCGATCGCCGCGCGCCCTCCCCGCCCTCCCGGCTGGGCCGTTTCCTTGGCTGTGACGCCATCGGGTCACGCACAACGCCCGGGCCGGAAGCAGGGCCCGCTGTCCCGGCTCCCGCGGCCATGATACCGACGGGGGTTCCAAGCCGCCCGCGGGCTTCTGGGAGGGAAAGGACCGAGGAGGGTGTACCCCCTCCTCTTCGGCCCCCGTAGTTCCTGTTGCGTCTGGCGCAATGCCTGCTGGGGATTGAAGTTCATATAACCCCGCCAAGCGCGTTGAACGCGGGACACTGTGAAGACTATGAAAATTAAGTGCATGCTTATTATTAGACATTTTTCAAATTGTGAAAAGCCGTGCAATAGAGAAAAGGTTTCTTTGTTTGAGACAGTCTCACTTTGTGTCCCTGTTTGGTCTGGAACTCATGATATAGACCAAATGGGCCTAGAACTCTGCCTGTGCCCCTTAGTGCAGAGATTAAAGGCTAGTGCCTTTATTTTTTTGTTTTAAGTTTTAAAAAAATTTTTTTTTCTAACGTGGGTTTGTTCTCGGAATAAACTGAGGTCCTCGTGATTGCAGAGCAAACACTTTATCAACCATGCGGTCTCCCTGGCCCCAGTAAAAAGCTATTCTAAGACAGGTCTTGCAAAGATGCCAGGCTAGCTTTGAACCCACTTCAGAGCCGCTCTCTGAAGCAGTTCTAGCTGTGGCAATCCAAGCTGCTTGGTGAGCCCAGCCTGCTTGCTTACTTAAAAGGAGCTGAATTATTCACCTTCACATCCCAACAATTTTGCTTCTCACTCTATAAACCTTGAAAAAGTTACTTTCCCTTTTGAGCGTCTGTTCCCCCTTTCGTCAAGCATACATAATGTAGGTACCTCATGGGGATTATATTAAAATGAGTTGAGTTACTATTTCTGGTGCCTGTAGCTCAGGGCTTAGCTTGTAAGGGTTCAACAAATATTCTCTCTCTCTCTCTCTCTCTCTCTCTCTCTCTCTCTCTCTCTCTGTGTGTGTGTGTGTGTGTGTGTACCCAGAGATCCAAGGATACCTTTTAGAAGTTAATTCTATCTCTAGCCCTGTAAAAATAGAACTTCCCTTCCTTACTTTCCCTTTCCTCTATACAACTTATATAAATCACACAGGTCTCACCTTTTGGGGTAGTAGGATTTTGAAGATTGAGGTCTCCCTAGTCAGAGCCTGTCTCACAAACACGTTTAAACAAACAAAAGTCCCTGTAATTACAACACTTGGGAGATGGGGGCAGGAGGACTTGGAGTTCAAGGCCAACAAGGACTACGTGAAACCTGTCTGAAAGGAGGGAAGGAAGGAAGAAAGAAGGAAGCACCTCACTCAGCTAAATCTGAAATGTGCACTTTCTTGAGGATTCTCGTTTTTTGTTTATTGCTTTATGGTTATGAGTTGACCGCAGCCCATACCAGCCTCCCACTTCCGTGCCTCCATCTCCCAAGACATCTGATGCTGTTCTAATTTTTTGAAAGCCCCAGTTTTACATGGTTGAACCAGTCTATCTACCACAAATACACAGTCAGAGGGAACTAACTCCTTTGTGGACTCAGGAGTTTCAGGAGCTCCAGTCTTCTCCAGCAGGGGGCAGAGTGGTGCAGGGAGAAAGCCGCCATCTCTGGGTTAAGCACTGGCTGGTCCTGGACTCTCTGATTACCGACTTGGGTAAGCTTTTAAGCTTTGGGTGAGAGGCCAACTACCAAACGGACAATTTATAGAGCTGTAATTAAGATGTGAACAAGAAATAAGTTAATACCTGCTAATACTGCCCAATCCCGGTACAATCAACATAATTCCTTTTTTTTTTTTTTTTTTTTGGTTTTGTCTGTGGTATGTATATGTGGTGTAGGTGCTTGTGTGGATGTGTTTCTATGTGTGTGGAAGTGCATGTGCACATGTATGCACAATGTATGTGTAAGTCTGAAGTTGATATAGGCATCTTTTACTTTATATTGTTTTTGTTTTGTAGAAGTGTCTTACTATGTAGTCCTGGCAGACTTGATACTCTCTATGTGGAGCAGGCTGTATTTGAACTCACATAGATCTTCCCTCCTCTGCCTCTCAAGTGCTTGGGTTTGAGACATAGTAACCCAGCCCCAGCAAGGTTTTAAAAATAATGTCCATTGTTAGGGAAGGTGCTGTACAATAGGTACTTTTAGCCTCTGATGGTGGGAGTGTCAATCAATACAATCTTTCCAGAGAGGAATTCAGAAAAAGAACAAGGCATCATGAATCCATACATATTACATCTTTAGAAATCATTCCTGGAGGAAGAGTCATAAATGAGCATCACAATTTAAAGATTTTTCATTAGTGATTACTAATAATGTAGGAAAAAAAACACAACCAAAAAGATCCAATAATAGAATTCTTAAATAAATCATACTTAGGAATCTTATTCTGTGATTTAAAAAAATGATATTCCTGTTAAAATAACAAACTAAATAAAGTGTCCAACCATTATTTCATGCACAAGATATAAAGGAAGGAAAGGGAATAGAACAATAGAAATATTTATTATATAAAATATTTCTGGATCATGGGCTATTGGTCCATGCTTGTTATCCCAGCTGAGGCTGAGGCAGAAGCATCTCAAGTTCCAGGCTTGTCTGGCTATACAGCTGGTTCAACTCGAGCCTGGGCAACTTAGTAAGACTTTGTATCAAAATAAAAGTAAACAAACAAAACAAAATAAAAGGAGGGGGAGAGCCAAGCAAGATGGCTCAGGATTAGGTGTTTGTGGGTAGTTCTGCCATGGCCTGGTCTACTTTCAAGTTTTAGGAGGGATACACAGTGAAACTGCACGGAGAAGATGAAAGAAAAAGCGAGGCTGGAGAGATGGCCCAGCTCTTAAGAGCTGATGATGCTGTTCCAGAGGGGCCAGGCTCATTTTCTAGCACCCCACCTGTACAAATGCCTATAACTCCACTATCAGGGTAGCCAAGCATTTCTTCTGGCCTCTTCTGACTTTGTGCACATGGTACACAAAAGATACATTCAGATATCCACACATACACATAAAATTAATAAATAAGGATGGTAGAAATGACTCAGCCATTAAAGGCTAGGCTCACAAACAAAAATATAAGAGTTCAGTTCCCAGCACCCATGACTGTCTCTCCAGCCATTAAAATTAATAAAAAATAAATAAATCTTCTTTAAAAAGTCAAATAAGTAAATAAGTGAAAACTATGTATAACACCCGATTCTGTGTTACCCCCTCAGTACAGTTCGCGCGCCATTGTACCATACGCGAGTCGGGCAAGGGCCTGGAGATTGAAAGAACACACAAGAGACCTGGGTCATTGAAAAGAGATCAGCTGAATGCCGTTTATTCAACTTTGGGGAAATCCTATTATACCTAGCTGCTGTACAAGGATTTCTGCCCAGGCAGGTGGGAAATCACCATACCAAAGATGAAACAATGCCCTACAGCTACGCACAGGAACAAACAGGATGTTTTAGCTGGCTGACCGAAAACTGTCCTCAAGATGCACCCCAGGAGCAAGGGTAGACCTGGGCCCTACAACTATGAAAACCAACAAAGGACTGAGGCCATAGCTCACCGGTAGCACTTTAACTAGCTCTGTCCCGAGCAGAGGATAGTGGAGGCTGTAGGTCTAATCCCAGGACTGTAAAAATGAAGCAGTAAAATAGAATGCCTTTGAATATTTATTATTCACATTAGCAGGCAACACATGCACACACACACACACACTAAATAAACAAGCAAGCGAACAAATAAACAAATAAAAGTCTGGGTTGTAGCTCAGTTCATAGAGTGCTTGCACAGCCTGTACGGTTCCCAGGACTTCAGAAGACTTGACTTGTTATGGCTTGGTTTAAACCTTTGCTCTATTTTTAAACCCAAATTTAATTTAATTATTTTGAGAAGAAAATCTCATTATGTAGCCTTTATTTTTAGTTCCTGGGATTAGAACCCTGGACCTCGAACATGCTAAGCATAATCTCCATCAGCGAGTCACATTCCCCACCCTGAGTCTGATCTTAAATTTAAACCTGAAGACAAAATGGCAAGGGATTTGATCAGTTTCCTATGTTCTTGAAGTTCATATAAACAGAATCTCACACTAAGCAGTCTTATGCCTGGCTTCTTTTGCTCATTGTTGTTGAGATCTATCCGCGCTGTTCCTTTTATAGCTGAGTATCGTGTTCCGTTGTTTGAAAGCCCACAATCTACCCATCCATTCTTCTGCTGATAGACCTTTGGATTGTTGACAGTTTTGGGCAGTTAGAAAAAAGGCTGCTATGAAAATTCTAACTCAGGTTCAAAGGAAAAAGATACACAAGTAAAAGTTTTAGATGTTCACTGTAGATTGCTCATGGGGAGACAGACGTAATTTTAGGCAACACTTTCTTTTCTTTATTGTGGGAGCCAAATTTGCTTCCTGAGTATTTACTCCATCCAATGTGTCTCCCTCTGTATTCTAGCTTAGTGGCAGTGTAGTGAGAATGCAGTTGTGTTGAAAACATCTTCTGTCTGGATCTAGATGGCTCAGAGCTCTTAACCAGGTTCAGCTCCCTGCACCGACATGGCAGCTCACGTTGGTCTGTAACTCCAGCTCTAGGGGATCCAGCACCCTCACACTGCAGACAAAACACCATCTATAAAATAAAAATAAACAAATCACTTAAAATTAGTTTTAAAAAAGAAAGAAAATCTCTTCTATCAATCACTCTATAGTTTATCTTTTAAACAGACAATTTTTAAAAGAGTTATATTTATGTGTGTGTGCTTTCCATGTAAGTAGGGCTGTCTGTGGAGGTCAGAAGAGGGTGTTGGCTCCCCTGAAGCTGGAATTACAGGTGTCGTGAGCTGCCAAATGAGTCCTCTGCAAGAGCAGTCCATGCTCTTTAGCTGTTGAGCATCTCTCCAGGCCTTCTGTGGGTTATTTTTATACTCTTTTTAAAATAAGCCTAAGTTGGATGTGGTGGTATACATACATACAGACATACATGTGTGTGTATAATTGTTCTGCTCAGTAGGTATAGACAGGAGGTATGCTAGAAGTTCAAGGCCAGCATGAACTACATAGTAAGACTGTCTCAAAAAAACAAAATAAATAAAATACATGGCTCAGTGGCTAGAAACACTTGTTTCTCT